GTTGTAATGCTCAGCTGCTTGTAGTTGTTGTGGGCCCTTCAGTCTCTTTATCAGGTGTGGGGAGCCCCAGCACAGTTGGCTGCAAGTTCTAATATCACATTTGTGTTGCAGTATTTCTTTTAAGTGAGTAGGCCCCCAGCATGGTGGATTGTTAGGCTCAGGGCCTAAAGAGACCAGCCTTTAGGTCTCTTGTCAGCTCTCTGAGGATTGCAGCTGGGTGGGGCTGGCCTCAGGCACGCGAGCACCCAACTGTCTCAGGCTTTGGAAGGTGGGGCAAGCCCCCCACGTGGTTCTTTGAGAAGCACAAGTCCTCTGCAGCCGACAAGCTCCGCTGCCCACAGGTCCACACACACAGTCAACACAGTCGTGCCCTGTGTGCGCGCCCCGACCTCCTGAAGTGGACCCAGTCTCTCCACGGCAGGAGCCCCACACACTCCACCACCGCCCCATATTCTCCACCTGCTCCTTGTGCACGCCCTGCCCTACTGAAGTGGGCTCAGTTGCCGGGCTGCAGAGAATCCAGTCACCAATCTATGCAGGCCTACTAGTTGCCTGAGGGCTTGTTGTTCAGTGGGGCCAGTCTCTAGTGGGGGCTGCCTGTCTTGGCTGAGCTGGATTAAATCGATGTTCTAGTGGGTGGGGCAGACTTGGGCTAGCAGGCCCCTGGGAGAACTCCAATGGTGTCTGTGTCAGCACGCCCACACCAGGCCACAACAATGGCCACCGCCAATGTCCCAGTCCCTGGAGAGGTCTCACCTCTCACTGCAATGCACTCAGAGCCTATCAGGTGAGTCTCTTTTCACCAAAGCACTGTGCACCTTTCTTTCTGGTGATTTTAGGTTGCTTTCTGAAACGGGTGAGTTTGCGCGTGGGCCCTTTAAGTGCCGGTTTTAATGTCTTTGTGAACCGGGTTTTCTGGGGGTACTCCCCAATGTTTTAGCAGCAGGCAAAGTCAGATATTATGCCACTCATCTCAATTGTGCTGGGTCCACAAAATGCCCACAGCAGGGGCACTCCCCAGCTCAGGGCCCTGCTCCTCCAGGGAGGTTGCATACCTTTGGGCTGTTCCCGGGCAGCCGTGAAGCTGGTGACTTGTGAAGGCGGCATTTTTCCTCTCCAGAAGGGAGCCTCTGCCTCTTCTACCTCAGTTAGGATTGTCCGTTGTTGCAGGAGTTCCTCTTATCCAGTTTTCAGTTCTGTCTCAGGGGTAATTTTTCCATGAGTAGTTGTAAATTGCCTGTGTCCGCGGGAGGAGGTGAGTTCAGAGTCTGCTTACGCCGCCATCTTGACTTGGAGACCTGATTACATTTAATATGATTACTGATAAAGTAAGATTTATGTCTACCATGTTGCTATATGTTTCCTGTATGTCTTGGGGCTTTTTATTATTCCACTATTCCTCCATACTGCCTTCTTTTGTGTTAAATAGATATTTCCTAGTATAACATTTTAATTCCTTTGTTTCTTTCGCTGTACTTTTTGAGTTATTTTCTTAGTGATTGCCCTTGGGATTATAGTTAACATCTTAATTTAAAACAATCTAGTTTGGATTAATACCAGTTTAATTTCAATAGAATTCAAAAACTTTGTTCCATATAGCTTCATTCCCTTCCCCTTTGTTTCTGCTATTATTTTCATTCAAATTACATCTTTATACATTATAAGCACATCTGTATAGCTTGATATTTATTGCTTTATGCAGTTGTCTTTTAAATCAGATAGGAGAAGAAAAGAATTATAAACAAAAATATGTTTTATACTCTTTTGTATTTACCTATGTAGTTAATCTTTACCAGTACTCTTTATTTCTTCATATGGATTCAAGTTAATAGCTAGTGTCCTTTTATTCCACCCTGAGGAACTCCCTTTAGTGTTTCCTGCAAGGATAGGTTTCCTAGAGATGAATTCTCTCAGTTTTGTTTATCTGATAATCTCTTAATTTCTCCTTTACTTTTGAAGGATAGTTTTTCTGTATATAGAATTTTTTGTTGACATTCTTTTTCTTTCAGTACTTTGAATATGTTTTCTCACTGCCTTCTGGACTCCATGGTTTCTAATGAGAAGTTAGCTTTAATCCTATTGAGGATGGGCTGGCCTGGTGGCGCAGTGGTTAAGTGTGCATGCTCCGCTTTGGTGGCCCCGGGTTCAGAGGTTAGGATCCTGGGCGTGCACTGATGCACCGCTTGTTAAGCCATGCTGTGGTGGCGTCACATATAAAGTAGAGGAAGATGGGCACGGTGTTAGCCCAGGGCCAATCTTTCTCAGCAAAAAAGAGGAGGATTGGCATTGGATGTTAGCTCAGGGCTAGTCCTCCTCACAAAAAACAAAAAATCTCATTGAGGAACCTTTGTATATGACGAGTCATTTCTCTCTTGCTGCCTTCAAGATTCTCCCTTTGTCTTAGGCTTTTGACAGTTTGACTATGATGTGTCTAAGTGTGGATCTCTGTGAATTTATCCTACTTGGAATTTGTTGAGCTTCTTAGATGAGTGGATTAATATTTATTAAATTTGGAAAGTTTTTGGCTGTTGTTTCTTTATACAGTTAAATAGTACAAATAACCTTTCTCCTCTCCTAGGACTGTGTGGTATGTTGGTATGCTTGATGGTATTTCACAGGTCTCTGAGGCTCTTAATTTTTCTTCATTCTTTTTTCTCTCTGTTTTTTAGACTGGATAATCTCAATTAACCTATCTTCAGGTTCACTGTTTCTCTCTTTCCCCAACTCAAATATGCTGTTTAGCCCCTCTAGTGAATTTTACATTTCAGTTATTGTATTTTTCAACTCCAGAATTCCTGTTTAGTTCTTTTCTTTCTTTCTTTTTAAAAAATAGTTTCTGTTTCTTTATTGATATTCTCTATTTGATGAGACTTCATTCTTATACTTTCCTTTAATTCTTTGAACATGATTTCCTTTAGTGATAGCTAATTTATAGTCCTTGTCTAGTAAGTCTAATATTTGGGGTTCCTCAAGGACAGTTTCTAATAACTATACTTTTTACTGTGTATGAGCTGTACTTTCCTGTTTCTTTGTGTGTCTCAACTTTTTGTTGAAATTGGACATTTTAAATAACGTAATGTGGCAACTCTGGAAATCAGATTCTTCCACCCCTCCGGGGTTTGTTATTGTTTTTCTTGTTATTGCTGTTTGTTTAGTGACTTTCCTGGACTAATTCTGTGAAGTCTATATTCTTTGTCATGTACAGCAAGTCTCTGTTTGGTTAGCTAAGTCTGCTAGTGATTGGAAAGAGATTTCCTTAACTACTTTGAACAAGTAAGTCTCCCTCTCTCTGACAAGGGGATACGTGTGTGTGCGTGCACATGCACGTGTGTGTTGGGGGCACACCTTCAGTGCTCTGACAGTTTATTAGCCTTAACTTCCTACTTGCACAGAGCCTCAAGGTCAGCCAGACATGAGAGATTAGGCCCTTCTTAGGTCTTTCTTGAGCATGCACATAGCCTTGTACATGTGTATGACCTTCTAGATCCCCAGTAATGTGTTGGCGTTTTTTAGAGCTCCACATGGACATCTCATTCCCCAGATTTTTAGTTTATTGGCAACCCTCTTGTGTACTTCAGCTGGTATGGCCACCTCACGCAGCTGAGATTAAACGATTGCCACTGTTTTCGAAAAATGACCTGAGGATAGATAGGGTTTCTCCTTGAGCTAGCTCTGAGTCAGGTCAAATAAAGAGAAACTCTGGGAATGGGACTTTTTGAGGAGGTCCAGGCTTGTTCTGCCCTTTTGAGTGGTTGTGATACTGTTGGTTGTCACAGCTACAGGGATTGTGAGCCTGTTGATTTTCAAGGCTACCACAGAGTTGGGGAAGTATTCTGGGAATGGAGCAAATTAAAAATGCCATAAAGCTTGCTGTTCTTACTCAGAGTTAGCCATTTCTTGATTAAATGTTCCTCAGGCTGTTGCAAGCCTTTGTTTAATTTCCAGAGTTCTGAAAAAGCTGATTTTGACCATCGTTGCTAGTGTTGTCTTTGCTCTTATGCAGGAGTGGATTTTTAGAGGTTCTTGCTTTGTCATTCTGGAAGTGTTTCTGCATGTTAGTTTCTTCAAAGCAAAACCTTTTTTCTGCTCTTTTCTTACGATGCCTAAACCAGTCTGGTCAGAATAATTTTGTCTCTTGTGATTTTCTGTGTTTTCATATGTTTAATCATGTAATGATTAATTTCATTGTACGATTTTAATAGGACACTGTTTAGTAATGTATAACTAAGAATATATCAAAGTTTTATGTAATCAAATGTTTACTGAATTTATCACAACTTAGGAAACTTTATTTTTAAATCTTCTACAGCACTGTCACTCTGTCCTCTCAAAGATTTCCTTCCTATGAAGAACTAGGAACAGCTAAAGTGACTGTGCACAAGTCTGATGATATTCTTTATGATCTTGGCCAAAAGAGGAAAGAAACAAATGGTGTACTCCAGGTAAAGCGGGTATAGGATATTAAATTTGATGATTAGTAATAGTAAAAATTATGAAGAAATAAAAAACTTATCAAGACAGAAAGCAAGAGGAAGGATGAAGACAAACTACTGAAAAAGATGTCATCCCAGTCTCTTCTCTTTACAAAACTTTCCCAGATCCCCTCACCAAGTGACTTCTACTTACTGCTCCCAGTCTAGGGCCGAGCCACATGGCCACCTCTAGCTTTCCAGCTTCTTTTGAAGAGGAAGGAAGGGGGAAGAGAACTGCGAATGGCCCTCATTTATTTAGTCCACAATGTCCGCCATCCCTACCAAGAGCCAACTTGCTCTTATTTTGTTTTAGCTTTCTTCACCAGATACAGCTTTTATTGGTGACTGGACTGCCTGGCACTTCTGTGGACTTCCCAGCCCTATATCACTTAATATTCACATTAGTACTTCTAAATGGAAAGAAACCTTAATTGCCAAGTAGTCTTTTATTGGCTCTTCAATTTGACCCATTGAGTCTTTAGAATATATTGGCATAGTGTATGGCCCCAACTATAGTAATAGCTCTTGTTTGTATTAATATAATTAATGTGAGTTTTACATGGTAACATTTTTGCCTTTTTTTTCCTTTTAAGCCAAAAGAATCTCTGATTATGTCGAGCCTTGCCGATCTTTCACAGAATTCCTTTAAGCTTCAAACAAGCAATACAAGATCTGTATTGAAAGATGCTGAGAAGATTTTGAGAGGAGTACAAAACAATAAAAAAGTACTTGAAGAAAACCTGGAAGCTATTATTCGTGCAAAGGACGGAGCTGCCATGTATTCGTTTATCAATGCCCTGTCTACCAACAGGTAAGACAGGATGTTGGCAACCCAAAGTTATTTATGAAACTACCAGTTTTACAGGCTTTCTTAATTTTTTTCCTAAGCATTTCATTTTGCTTAATGTGTTTTAATGTTTAGAAGAGGTTCTTTATTGCCTTTGAGTATGTGGACTTATTATAAAGTTGGAATTTGGATATATACATGTTGCTATTACTTTTTATAGATGTAAATTTTCCCTTTAATTTCTTTTCTCTCTTTGGTGCATATCTTCTGGAATGTACAAGTGCTTTTCAAACATCCTTCAAACATTTGATGAAAACTAATAACATTGGTTTTTCCTTTTCAGATGAAGGATATTGGGCTACATAGTAGATTCAAAACAATGTAAGACTTCTGATGCAGGTCCTGTTCTCAGGATGTTAAATGCTAATTTAAGAAAATTCTTTTTTCTCTTTTGTAGAGAGATATCAGAGAAGATTCGGATTAGAAAGACAGTGGATGAGTGGATTAAAACTATTTCTGCAGAAATTCAGGTAGGTATTGGAAAATTGAGAATTAAATAAATCCTCAGGAGATAACATTGATTCAAATTTATAAGTATCATACTTATTCTCAAAATGTTCCTTATAAATAAGTCCAGTTATAATTCTTAATTTCACTCTGTCACTGTTTATATTTACTTAGTAATAAGTTTCATTTTATTTAAAAAGTGTTTTCTCTCATAAATTGTATTGTGGCTCTTATCTGGCAAGTTGTTGGACAATAACTAAAATATGAGAAATTGGAAAGAAGCTTTAGCAAAAGCACTTAGAAAAGGAAGAAGTATACTTACAAAAACATTTCAAGACAGCAGATTTAGAAGCATTGGCTGGGCCGGCCCCATGGTTTAGTGGTTAAGTGCGCGCGCTCTGCTGGCGGCCCAGGTTTGGATCTGGGTGTGCACCGAGGCGCTGCTTCTCCGGCCATGCTGAGGCCGAGTCCCACATACAGCAACTAGAAGGACGTGCAGCTATGACATACAACTATCTACTGGGGCTTTGGGGGAAAAAAATAAATAAATAAAATTATGAAAAAAAAAAAAAAAAAGAAGCATTGGCTTACCAAAGTAAAAACACCGAAGTTGTTTAAAGGGATAGTACCCCCCAAGATTGCTACGGTTACTAAGTTTACAGAGGGCGGTTCCAGATGGAAAAACTGCCACTTTCTCACATCCACAAAGCTTGTGGTGTATCTTCAGACATTAGTGTTGCAAAAATCTAGGAGAGTTATCTTTATTAGGGGGTCAGTAATTTAAAGGAAATTCTTAAAATTTTATATATTTGAGGGAGCAGAACTAGACAGTGTAGCCCTGTTATTTTTATCTTGGGGTGCAAAGTACAAAGTACTCCTGACTGTAAGATGTATGTAGTATATGCTTACTCACAATGGTAGCAAGATGAAGTGTCAGTTCAGTTTCCACAGCAATAGACACTGAAATATATTTTTAAACTTTATTGTTTAAGAATACACATCTCTAGTGCGGTTGTGAAGGATTTATATCAGCTACTGTATGATGCACCAGAAAAAAGCTGAACTAAGAGTCAGAAGACTTAGAGATCGGTTCTGGCTCTGCAGACAACTAGCAATATATATCCCTCTGTTACTATGAATTCCATGCAAAATATGTTTGTTTAAACCTTCAAGCAATTTTAATTTATAAATATCTATTTTAGAGTTTTATTACAAAGTGATTTACGTTTTTGGAAATTTATTTTTCAATTTAATTTTTTGAACAGTTACTATAGTCATATGGTTCAAACATCAAAAAGTGTAAAAAGGTTTATCGTGAAAAGTTGCTCTCCTACCCCTGTACATGATCTACTATTTCTCATTCCCCCTGCTCCATAAGACACTGATCTTTTTAGTTTTTTGTTTATTTTTCCAGAGAAGTTTTATTCATATGTAAACAATATCATTTATTTATAAAGCATTTAAAACTGCTAAATTATATTTATGTAACAGCAGAAAATAAATTCTAATACTTTTGATGTGAAAGCATTACTACTTGGATTAGAGTTTAAGTAATTTTGGTTTTGGTTATGTTAAGGATGAACTGGCAAGAAAAGATTATGAACAAAAGAGGTTTGATCAGAAGAATCAAAGGACCAGGAAAGCTCAGAATATGAGTAAAGATATTAAAACCAACACGCAAGACAAAACAGTAAACAATTCTGTAATTCCAAGAAAACATTCTCAGAAACAAAAAGAGGAGCATTTTAGAAATCCACCTGTGAGGAGCAAGCCTGCTTCAAGCTTACAGAAAGAGAGAAAAGAAGTAAGATCCTGCTCTGGTTTTGTGACATAGGTATTGCATTGTAATTGATCATTCTCTTTAAGATATAAATAATGAAATGAGTATGAAAATGTTTTAAAAATATGAAGGACTATACAAATGTAAACCATCTTTAAACTATTGATATTCAAGGTTTTGGATATCTATAATGTGGGAAGCACTGCACAAAATACATAATTCCTTCCTTCTGAGATCTCACACTTAGAATCTGAGTATTTTAGTTCTAGCAGGTATATCTAGAGATCATCTAGTTGAAACATTAGGTTCTCTACTTCATGGTACTCAAAATTGTGTTTTATCTGTGTGTGTGTATGTATATATAGTTTTTGTTTGTTTCTCAGTTTAACAAACGTATGTTTGTGCCTAGTGATTGTGAGGCATGGCACTAGATACTATGGAGGGAATGTTTTTGGCTGCTCTAACTAGTCTGTAACTTTCTTAATGCCAAACATGATTGTTGGGCACAGTAATAAAGCATCTAATTCAATGCTTCACACATAGTAGATGCTCAATAAATGCTACCTTTCTATGGCATTTAGATTATGATTGAAGGTGGGATCAGGAATGTGGAAAATCATTTAAAGACTTGATTTATGTTATATTATTATACTTGAATGTAATTAATATGTAATATGTGTTTAAACCTTACTTTTTGGTACTAAAAATATTTACTAGTGTAAGAACTTTCATGTTTCTTGGTAGGATGATTTTCATATTTAATTTTCATGCTTTTGAAAACTATAAAACTATAGTTTGAAAACTAAATCCAGAATTTAAGAGCCATTAACATGGAGGACTTTCCTGAGATCATTCTTATAATAGTACTTAAGCTGGCAAAAGAAGGCTTTAGAAATATAAGTGTTTGATGACTATTTTGCTGGTGAGTTGAATAACTTTGTATACTTAGGGATTTTTGAAAGCAACCTCAGTGATACAAGATGAGGATTATATGTTGCAAATTTATGGAAAACCAGTTTATCAGGGCCATCGCAGCACTCTTAAAAAAGGACCATATCTCAGATTTAATTCTCCATCTCCTAAGTCCAAACCACAAAGACCGAAATTAATAGAACGAGTTAAAGGTAAGGAACCTCATTTTTGTAGTAAACCTCATTTTTTATGGTATCAGTTTAATATGTAAAATTTAATTTTTGCTTTTTATTTATTACTTATAAATACAGTTCAAATTACATAATGCTTAGGGATGGAAAAACAATTCCTTCTGAGAGAGTAGGAAAAAATAGACCAGATTCAAGGCACAAGATAGGAATAAGTGGGAAAAGATACAGGATTAGATGGTATCTTCAGACAAAGCATGATAAAATTTGCATTTATGAGATGATGAGTCTTGCACAATGCAAATTATAATCTAGGGAAATAGACATTTCCATGAAGACTTTGGTTCATCATATTCTGTATGAACAGAAAGAAGCCATATATGCTGGGCATTATCATAAAAGTGCTTATGGGGGCTTGTGCAGTTTTGTTTGTTCTCAAAGAGCATTAGATAGCAAAGGTAAAAAATTTTTTTGGTACTTGGGTACACAACTAAAAATATCTTAATTTATGACTATATCTTTCGACTCACACCTATGATTTCACTAGTATATTTAAATATAACTTTCAGTTAAATATTGAGTCTGTTGACTTTGGTTACGTATTGAAGTTTCTCAACTTGTACTTTAGCAGTCAGCAAGCCACTTTGACAATATGCCATAACTAGTGGATGCCAACTATTTTTCTTTCTTATCCTTTCTGGAAGTTGGAGCCATGGCAGTTGCTTTAGTTTTCCTTTCATTTCATTTCTAAAAGTTAGGTGATCATATAGGGTGTCAGTTTATCTAGAAATCCTACTGATGTTATTTTAGTAAATCATATAGCTTATGGATGATCTTTACCTTGTTAGATGATATTTACCTTAGTATTTCCTCTTGTTTATTAGAACTTTGCTATTAACTTCTTTTGATTTTGAAAAGCCTTTGCAAAAAATAACTCAAGGTTTTAAAATACTTTCAAGTCTTAAAATCTTAAGGTCCAAAATACTTTCAAATCCAAAAAATCCTGAGAATACATGCTCATCTGTGGACCTTGGTACCTGTTATTTCCTCTACTTGGAGAGCTTTTCCTTAGACACTTGCATGGCTCACTCTCTCAGTTCTTTCCATCTCTCCTCTTAGATGTTGGCTCCTCAGAGAGGTCTACCTGGACCATCCTATCCAAAAAATGATCTCCTATCCCTCTCTAACCCATTGCCCTGCCTTATTGTTCTTCATAGCACTTTTCACTATCTGACGTTATATCTTTGTTGATTGACTGATTGTTTTCCTTACTATACTGTAAGCTTCATGAGTACAGTTGGTTTATTCAGTTGTATACCCTGTGTCTGAAATGATGCCTAACATGTATTAACTGCTGAAAAAATATATTTTAAATAAACACTCAAAAATATTCATTCAATCGAATGGATGAATACTAGAGAACAGGATGAAAAAATACAGATGTGGTACTAAAATTTTTCTTCCTGGAATCATGAAACTATATTTAAAAGTCTAGGTTCATAAAACTACTCACATATTAAAAGTAAAAATGTAGTAATTTCATGAATTTATTTAGAAAATATTTTAGTTTCTTTTTCTTTACACTTTTGCTTTTCTTTACTTTGCTCAGGTCCCATAGAAATTTATCTTCTCCTCCAAAGAGACAGATAATCAGACAAATTTCTAACTTTTTAAGAATTCAGGATTTAATGTCTATATAGATTTCCTTCATAGGAATAGAAAAAATGTATAATGGTATTAACTTCTGTAAGATTTTAATAGGTATAGAATTTGATTATCTGTAGATAATTTCAAAGGATAAAGGCTAGTTATCCAGAATTATATCATGAATAAAATTGTAATGAGATGATAAAAAAATCCAATTCCAAAAATGATGATTAACTTTTTTGTATCTATAAGAAAAAAATTCAATGAGTTAAATAATACAGTCTGAATATTCTATTTATTTATTTATTTATTTATTTATTTATTTATTTATTTATTTATTTATTTATTTATTTATTTTTGTGAGGAAGATCAGCCCTGAGCTAACATCCGTGCTAATCTTCCTCTTTTCGCTGAGGAAGACCAGCTCTGAGCTAACATCTATTGCCAATCCTCCTCCTTCCCCCGCCCCCCCAAAGCCCCAGTAGATAGTTGTATGTCATAGTTGCACATCCTTCTAGTTGCTGTATGTGGGATGCAGCCTCGGCATGGCCAGAGTAGCATCGGTGCGCGCCCGGGTCCGAACCCCGGCCGCCAGTAGTGGAGCGCGCACACTTAACCACTAACCCGTGGGGCGGGCCCTGAATATTCTTTTGAGTTTTTATTCAACATTTTTTTCCTAGTCATTGTATCTATTCTGTCATAGTAGTTGTACAAGTTGTTACATCTATTCAGGGGTTAAGAAACCATGATCTGCAGGTCAGCTGCCTGTTTTTATAAATAATGTTTTATTGGAACATAGCTATGCTCATTCATTTATGTATTGTTGATGACTGCTTTCATGCTACAATGGAAGAGTTGAGATGTTGCAACTGAGACCACGTGACCCATGAGACTACAATATGTACTATCTGGCTTTTCAAAAAAAAATTTGCCAACCCCTGGTTTATACGTTGCTTCTGTTTTGGGGCCCTCTAACCTTATTATATAGAAGGAGACCTTTCTGTGAGGAAGAGGTGCTATATTTCTAGATGGCTGGATAGTAGATGTTCAAACAGTACTTTTAAATATCTGCCATTGATGAACATTACAGGCACTAAAGTAAAGTCGATAAGAACACAAACTGACTCTTACGCAACAAAACCTGCAAAGATGGATTCTAAACTGCAACATTCTGTTACTATGGTGCCCCCTGGTGATCAGCAGTATTTGTTCAGTCCAAGCCGAGAAATGCCTACTTTTTCAGGTACACTGGAAGGCCATCTAATTCCTATGGCAATTCTTTTAGGTAAGACCCAACAAAATATATGGGGTAAATTTTAAACTCTTGCCAGCAGTAGCAGAACTTGCAAAATGGTGCTGACAGGATAGTCACCTATGTTTTTCCATTATGTTGCTTATATTTGTGGGTAGGGCCTCAGAATGTGTCTTACTCTGTAACAGCAGTCTCAGAAATGATGGGTTCCTGCTATGGTTTCACTCACAGGAAACGTTCTTTTGGTATTTTATAGTACATTGCTGTAGGTGAAATGAAATTAAAAAAAAGTTTAGACGTGTCATAGACATTGATAATAATTAAAGATTCAAGAATTTTGATTGGTTTAATATCATCACATCTTAGGGGAAGTACTTTAAAGTACCTTTTATGTACTTTTGAACTAGGCTGTGATAAGTTAAAATTATGTGATTGTAAATTCTAAGCCAATAGTTGGTTAATTACTTATTTGAGTTCTCTCAGACTTATCATTGTAAAAACTGAACAAATCATTTTTGCTTTCACATTAGCTCTTTAAATCTAGTTAGCTATTTTTTTTCTTTAGTGTCATTTCTGTTCTTAATTTTGATGAATGATTTAAATATGAATATTTTTTGACATGAGAGAACTTTTTATTTTTGATATTATGGGTTAATGGCATATCAACCTAATAGTTAATATCTGTTCAAACATGCCTTTTATTAATACAATAGCTAATAATTATGAAGTTCTTACTGTGTGCTAGGTACAGATGTAAGTACTTTACGTATAGAACACATGGTAATGTACCAATTATATAGATGAAGAAACTGAGGAGACGTTAACAGAGAAGTTAAGTGATTTGTCAGAGGCCACGTGGCTAGAGTGGAGCTGGCTTTAGAGTCTGTGCTTTTAATGAGTTCACTGTACTGTCTCTCTTTACTTTCACATATAGGAAACAAGTGAAACTTGGAAGTGAAAGCTAACAAGTTTTTGACAGCTATGATAGTTAGCAAATAGTGGGCCTACATGCTGTTTATTGGTAGTCCAACACTAGTATTTTCTTGCTGGTTTTGTTTCTGTCCATTGATGCTCTATGAAGATTTGAGATTCAAAATAATACAATATAATGCAATACATTTTAGTCTTGGCTTTGCCACTTATAATTAAGACCTTTGGTAAATTATGTTTCTGAACCTCTGTTTCCTCAACTGTAAAATGTGGACAATATTAATACCGCATAAGTTTGTTTTGAGGGTTAAATTGGATAGTGTGTGAGAAATGTTTAGTTCCTCTCAAGGTTGTGTATTAGATTTTCCCCTTTATTTCTGAAATGGTTGACTCATTTTCTCCCCCAAACTTTTTAGGACAAACCCAAAGTAATAGTGATTCCATGCCACCTGCTGGAGTAATTGTCAACAAGCCACACCCTGTAACAGTGACTACTTCTATCCCTCCATCATCTCGAAAAACAGAAACTGGAGTGAAGAAACCTAACATAGCAGTTGTAGAAATGAGGTCGGAAAAAAAGGATCCTCCTCAGCTTACTGTGCAGGTGTGCCAGGGTGCATGAACAGAAAATTTTAAGGAAAAAGAATTTTTGGCTTAACTTGAGCGCTTAAATTTATTAGATTGCTTCACAGAAACTTTGCTTTCATCGTGGGTCTTTCGTTTGTTCTTTGAAACTGTGATGTTAATATGATGTCTCTATCCTTGTTCTGCATGATTTAAGCTACCTTTTCTAAACCACGGGACTCGATATTCCAAAGGGAACAATTGAACAGTATACTATAATTAATTTAAAAAGATAATGGTTTGACTTATATAATTAATACTTCAATCTTTACACACACATGTCTAAGAAGACTTCAGTGAATGGAGAGAGAACTTATATGTGAAAGTTAAATATTCAGGTTGTCAATTCTTCCTAAGTTAATGTATAATTTAAGTGAAATTGTAATTAAAAAAACAAACCATGAGTTTTATTTTTTAACTCGAACTTTAGGATCATTTTGATATTTGAAAGAACAAAGGGTTTAAAAAAGTTAAAGTGTTTTGGTACTGGTCCTGTATTACAAAGTATTTCAGAAATAGCCTTGGTTATTTAAAAAAGAATGTAATATGTGATGTTTACTTCATAAATCAGTGGGAAATAGGATTCTTGTAAACGAAATAATGTATGTTGCAGTTGGTTAGCAATGTGGAAAATAGATCAGTTTTAGACTCTGAACTCCTACTGTATAGCAGATGAGTTACAGATAGGCCAAAGTATAACTATGAAATATAAAAACATAGAAGAATTAGAAGGTAGTTGCATGGAATCTTTGTCAGAGCTGAAGCTAAGTCTGGATGTGAGAGAAGAAAACTTAGGTATGATGGAAAAACAGGTTTGAATCTATAAAATCTAAAACTTAAATTCATAAAAAATTCCTAAATAAAGAGGAAAACAACATACAAGGAGAACATATGAAAGGAATATGCTAGAAAGAATTAATTTTTAAATATAAAAACCTCCATAAAGTAATAAGAAAACATAAAGGCAAATCCAGAAATACTCAAAGACTATGAATAAGACTCTACAGAAGAGGAAATACAGTTTATAGGCAAGCAAATTGAATAATTTAAGTCTTGCTAGTTATCAAGATAATGCAATTAAAATAACAATAATATACCTCCATTTAAAAACTGTTGTTATTGAAACAATTATGTTATCTAATTTGGGTGAAGGTTGGATAAAACTTATACTTGATTATGTTTTTTATGGTGTAAATAGAGCTCATTTAGATTACATTTTGGCAGTGATTACCAAGAATCTTAAACATTCGTGCCCTGTGGCTCAAGTAATCTGTTACTTGGCTATCTAAGATAATGAGATAATTCAAAGTTTAGGGGAAAAAATCCCTGTATATAGGGGTATATAACTGATATATATATGAAGAAGTTTTTTGTAGTGAAATATATATCTATAGATATATATATAATAATGGAAATATTAGGAATATTCTAAATGTTTATCAAGACGAAAATGATTAATTAAAGCATGTATATTTATTGAAATATCATACAGTCATTTACAATATAATTACGAAGTCTATATGGAAGCATAATAAGGTGTTTGTGACCTAATTACAATGAAAAATTAGGAATGAAACTATTTTAGATTTTAGCTATGCATAAGTGGATAGTAAAAAGATAAAAGGAGTAGTGAAAATGAAGTTATCTTAAGATAGTAGGAGTTTGTGTTCCCCCTTTATTTTATAAATTTTGTAAAATATGCTTTCATCGTTAAAAAAAAGTTGTTATCCGTTGTCTTCGCAACAAAAAGTTAAATGTATGTTATTGATCTATAGATTGACAAATATTTGAGTCAAAATGCTGAGGAGAAAGCTGGCTGTGGTGTTCTGTTTTAGGTATTACCCAATGTAGATATTGACAGCATTTCGAATGGTAGTGCTGATGTCAGTCCATCTCTGCCCAGTCCCAAAGAAGCATCTCCTCCTCCTCTGCAAACCTGGATACAGGTATTGTTCAGAAATTGATCACGTAGTTTTGAGTAATGTCTGACTATAGATTTTAACTAATGTTATTCCATGCAAAGTCTTCCATTATAATCTATTATAATAATTTAGGTTTTAAAGAAAAAATTCAAAATGAATCTGGAATTGCTTATGAACTTGAAAGTTTGTTTAAGATCCTTACATTTATAAACATTCTGAAGGTCATAACCCTTAGTGTAACTTTTTGGTAACTTAAGCTGTAAGGCTCTCACATGTGAAGAAAGAATTTCTTTCTCTTTTGGAGAAGAATCTTGATTTAAATGAGAATTAAATTATAGTTTTCCTGAATGTGAATTTTATGGTGACAATTGGAGTTTATATTTTGGGATGTTACTTTGTCAGTATAGTATTAACATATTGCAAAAATATACGTTTCTTCCTAGTATTTGTTTGCTACTGAATAATGAAGTTATGACTTTTACTACACAGCAAAATAGCACTGTACTTTTCCCAGGGTTTCACCTATTGTAAGCAAATTTGGTCATCAAGGATACACATTTAAAGAGAGGGAGAACACCAACAATTTTTCACAATCAGAAGTAGTAAAATAGAACTGACCCTAAATGGCGTTTGTGACTAATTTAATTTTTTTATGAGTAATTTTTTTCACCAGAATTTTATTAAAACATGTATGATTACAAATAATAATTTTTTGGACTGTTTGTCATTCTGCTCAGGAAGAAGCTATTGTGGTTTTGGTGACTAGATTATATATAGTGAGGCCTAGAGACTAAATTTGTAAAATAACTATTTTGTTTATCTTGCTAAATTATTTGATTCTGTGTCTGTCTTTTTGTGAGTTTGTGTATGTATATACTTATATACCTGCACATATATACCTAAACACTTTATCTTAACTCTAGGAGAGAAATCACAATCATATCAACTTGATCAGTTGACTTAAGTTGCATTGTTGATGGAGTCCTTGACAGAAAAATTTACATTTAATTTTTTATAGCTATTGAAAGGGGAGCCTAATGGCTTGGGGACTATCTTGGATTTCATTTACTGATGAAATCAATTCTGAACAGGATATTAAAAAAGTAGGACCGTGTAATTACAAGCTTATGCTATGGGAGGAAATATGATAAATTATGTAGAAATTAAAAAGACATTAAGCACAACAAAAACTTTCTGAAAATGCTTTCTTAGACTCCAGAATTTACGATGGTAGATGAAGAGGAGGTGAAGTTTCCAGGAACTAACTTTGATGAAGTCATTGATGTCATACAGGTAACAAAGCCTAGAAATCATGAAGAATTATTTTTCTACCAGTATTTTTCCATGTGATTATCTTTTTTTTAAGGACTTTATGTTATTTTTTAGAGTAGTTTTAGTAGTAGTTTTAGGTTAACAACAAAATTGAGGGGAAGGTACAGAGATTTCCCGTGTACCTCCTACCCCTACACATGCATAGCCTCTCCCATTATCAACAGTCCCCCACCAGGGTGGTAACATTTGTTAAAATTGATGAACCTACACTAACACATCATTATCACTCAAAGTCCATAGTTTACCTCAGGGTTCGCTCTTGATGTACGTTCTATGGATTTGGACAAATATATCCATCATCATAGTATCATACAGAGTATTTTCACTATCTTAAAATCCTCTGTGTTCTGCCTATTTATTCATCCCCAACTCACCCCAATCCCTGGCAACCACTACTGTCTCCATAGTTTTGCCTTTTCCAGAATGTCATATAGTTGGAATCGTACAGTATGTAGCCTTTTCAGATTGGATTCTTTCACTTTATAATATGCGTTTAAGCTTCCTCCATATATTTTCATGACTTGATAGTTCATTTATTTTTAGCATTGAGTAATATTCCATTGTCTGGATGTACCACAGTTTATTTATCCAGTCACCTACTGAAGGGCATCTTGGTTGTTTCCAAGTTTTGGGAATTATTAATAAAGTTTCTTTTAACATCTGTGTGCATATTTTTATGTGGACATAAGTTTTCAACTCCTTTAGGTAAATATCAAGGAGCATGATTGCTGAATCGTGTGGTAAAAGTATGTTTAGATTTGAAAGAAACTGCTAACCCGTCTTCCAAAGTGGCCGTAACATTTTGCATTCCCACCAGCAATGAATTAGAGTTCCTGCTGCTCCACATCCTTGTCAACGTTTGGTGCTGTCCGTGTTCTGGATTTTGGCCATTCTTATGGATGTGTGGTGCTATCTCATTGTTATTTTAATGCGCATCTCCCTGATGACATATGATGTTGAGCATCTTTTCATATGCTTATTTGCCATCTGTATATCTTCTTTGATGAGGTGTCTGTTAAGGTCTTGGCCTTTTAAGTTGGGTCGTTTTCTTATTGAGTTTTAAGAGTTCTTTGTATATTTTGGATAACAGTTCTTTATCAAATGTGTCTTTTGCAAATACCTTCTCCCAGTCTACGGCTTGTCTTCTAATTCTCTTGACATTGTCTTTCACAGAGCAGAGGTGTTTACTTAGAATGAAGTCCAGCTTATTAATTATTTCTTTCATGGATTGTGCCTTTGATGTTGTATCTAAAAAGTCGTTGCCATACCCACAGTCATCTAGGTTTTCTATTATGTTATTTTCTAGGAGTTTTATGGTTTTGTGTTTTACACTTAGGTTGATGATCCATTTTGAGTTAATTTTTGTGAAAGATGTAAGGTCTGTGTCTAGATTCATTTTTTTGCCTGTGGATGTCCAGTTATTCCAGCACCATTTGTTGAAAGACTATTTTTGCTCCATTGTATTGCCTTTGCTCCTTTGTCAAAGATCAGTTGACTCTGTTTATGTGGGTTTATCTCTGAGATCTTTATTCTCTTTCCTTCATCTGTTTGTCTTTCCTTCCATCAATACCACATTGTCTTGATTACTCTTGCTTTATAATAAGTTGAAGTTGGCTAGTGTCGGTTCTCCAACTTTATTCTTCTCCTTCAATATTGTGTTGGTTATTCTGGGTCTTTTGCCTCTCCATATAAATTTTAGAGTCAGTTTTTTGGTATCTACAAAATAATTTATTGAGATTGCATTGAATCTATAGATCAAGTTGGAAACAACTGACATCTTGACAATATTGAATCTTCCTGTCCATGAACACAGAATATCTCTTCATTTATTTAATTCTTTGATTTCATTCATCAGAATTTTGTAGTTTTCTTCATATACAGTTCTTATACATGTTTGATTAGATTTATACCTAAGTATTTCATTTTTGGGAGTGCTAATGTAAATGGTATTGTGTTTTTAATTTCAAATTCTACTTGTTCATTGTTGGTATATAGGAAAGTGATTGACTTTTGTATATTAACTTTGTATCTTGCAACCTTGCTATAATCAATAATTAATTGCACGAGTTTTTTGTTGATTCTTTCAGATTTTCTACGTAGACAGTCATGTCATCTGCAAACAAAGACAGTTTTATTTTTTCCTTCCCAATTTGTATTCCTGTTATTTTCTTTTCTTGTCTAATTGCATTAGCAAGGACTTCTAGTACAGTGTTGAAAAGGAGTGGTGAGAGGAGACATCCTTGCCTTGTTCCTGATGGTTAAGTAACTTTTGACCATCAATATTATGTTACAGTGCTTTGAGAAACTTCCTTTTACTTTTGAGTTAAATGTATTTTTATTTTAAAATTATAAAGTTGTTATTCTATCATCATTCAGTATTATCTTCATCTATATCACCTAGCTGCCTCTGTGAAACTTAATGATTATCAGCTGTTTCCCACCTGCCTCTCATCTCTCATGCTTCCTGCTTCCTTTCCATTTCCTTTGGCTTCCCTCCCTCCAACCTGTTCTTTCTTCATTCTGTTATATTTGTCTGTTCGATTTCTGGATTATTGGCAAGGTCACCAGTTGGTTCGTATTGAGGTAAAAAGTTATGAGGGCTCTAAAATCCCAGGGAAGAGCCTATATAGTGGAAAGAGTTATAGAAATGATAGAAATGGTAAAATAGAAGGAGGGGAAAAAATAGGAGGAAATAAAATATAAAGGATGGGAGATAAGATCATAGAACATAGAGACTACTTGAATAATAATGTGTCAGTAGACTTTAAAGAATACATTTCTTCTTATTTCTTAGACTTCCAAAAGTTTTGTTAATCATAAAATGAAACCCTATTTTGGAATATTAAGAGATATGCAATATATTAAAGTTATTTGCTCATTGGTATGTCTTCTCATGTGAATTCCACAGGAGTGTTTTTAAGGCAAGAATCTCGTTTATCTTCATATTCCTAATGCCTAGCAAATACATTTGACAACTGTTTGCTCAATACACAAGTGAAAGAAACAGTTTTAGAAATAGCAAAGGATTTGGAGTTCAAAGACAGGTGTTCCTGCCCTGGCTTTGCCACTTATTAGCTGTGGACTTCACTTTTCAGTAGGAGAATGTTATTGACTTATAATTTTTAAAGAGTCCTAATTTTAGGGGGGATACATATTGAATTATTTACAGGTAAAATGATATATCTGTGATTTACTTCAAAATGAGATGTGAAGGGGGAAGTGGATGGGGCGAGTATAGATGACACAAGATTAGCCATGATTTGATTATTGTTAAAGCTGGGGAATGGATACATGTTATTTATACATAACAGATATAGTGCATGAGCACTGTTTTGTTTACTTTTAAATATGTATGATATTTTTCATAATAAGAAGTTTAGAAATTCCAGAAATAATTCCTTTGATCATGATATGATGGCACAAATAGTGTATAAGGTGACCTAACTGCATATTTAAATGTAAATTATAGGTTCTGTAAGAGGAAGCAGTGATACTTAGAAGCATCAGTTTTGTTATGATAATAAATTAAGATAAATTTCTAGAAGGAAATGTTAATAATATATATATATATATTTTTTTTGTGAGGAAGATTAGCCCTGAGCTAACATCCAATGCCAATCCTCCTCTTTTTTGCTGAGGAAGATTGGCCCTGGGCTAACATCCATGCCCATCTTCCTCTACTTCATATGGGACACTGCCACAGCACGGTTGACAAGTGGTGTGTCGGTGCGCGCCAGGGATCCGAACCCGCGAACCCCGGGCTGCTGCAGCGGAGCGCGTGCACTTAACCGCTATGCCACCAGGCCGGCCCCTTAATAATGTTTTATGTAGGAATCACCAAGGTTTCTAGTTTGTTTTGTGATTGTTTAAAATGAATATTGGGTTTTAAAAAGATAAAATAATTGTATAATTAAGGTTTCTTCAATGTGATCTGTATGGCAGATGTGTATATTATAAATAATGTGATACCACCTATTTAGAAATGCTGTTGATTAATTTAGAAGTGTTGGTTAATTTACCTACATAAGTTCCCTTCCTATACTTGTCACGCAATAAATGTTGAACAGATAGATGGATATAATAGTTTTGTTTTTATTATTACCAGGAAGAGGAAAAATGTGATGAAATTCCAGAATACTCTGAACCAATTCTGGAGTTTAACAGATGTGTTAAAGTTATTTCCACAAAATATAATGGTCCTCCATTTCCACCAGTTGCTTCTACTTCTCAGCCCACTGCTGATATTCTGGATAAAGTAATTCAGAGAAAGGAAACATTGGAAAATAGCTTAATTCAGTGGTGAGTTTACAGTGGTACTGGTGTGAACAGAATCATAGTAGCAAATACAAATGGAAAGTATTAAGTTTTGGTTGAAAATCTTCCTTGTCTCCTTTTGTTTATTAGACTTTTCCTTTGTTGTAGTCACTGGAAACTATTTGAGGTGATACTGAGGGTTAACTAATTGTTAAAGTTATTGTTTCTATCCTTGAATATTTGTACTTAGGCTGTCTATTGTGGCAAAAGAGGCTGTTGTTAAGTAACAAAAGCCTTAAAAATGTACATGTTCTTTAATCCAGTGATTCACTTCCAGAAATTTATCCTGAGGAAATAATTATGGTTCTGCTACTAGGCCGTAGAATACTTAGCATGTGTAGCACTTACTACAAATAAGGCACTGTTCTGTGTGTTACTTATATATACTTATGAACTCTGTTTTTATCCCTATTTTTACCTGTGAGAAACCTTAAGGTATTTATGGAATAAACTAAACAACTGAATATTAATACAATTATTAAGATTAGGTTTAGAAGACTATTTAATGATGTTGAAAGATTAGTAATACACTGATGCATAAATGATGCAGGATATTAATGATGTAACCACAGTTTATAAGATTTCACTCAAAAATAAATGTGCATAGAAGAAAAATTTGAAAAACATACCCAATTGTTAACTGTGTTTATCCCTGAATCTGGGATTATGAGTGAGCCTTATCTATTTTTTTTTAGCTTTCATATATTTTCTGATTTTTCTACAATGAACATGTCTTATTGTGTTCTCCTTCCCTTTCTCCATTTTCTTCCTCTTCCCCTTCCTAAAAATGACCTTAGAAATAAATTTTCTTTTCTTTTTGGGAGAAAAACTACCTGTATTGCAGTCTATATATTTATTTCCTCAAAGAACGGACAGCTGGACTTCTTTTCCCAGCTCTGATCTTGTATAGTTTTCTATGTGTGCTTTTAGAGTAGGGAACCCAACATTTTAGGTGCATGATTTGCCAGATAAGCATTGACCTAAACCTTATGAATTTAGGAGGTCTGTTAAACTTCTCGTTAGACTAATCTGAAAGATTTTACTTTGATTTAATGAACTGTCTCCCACATGGAGGTTCTGTTTCATGTGGTTTATTTTGCTAGGAGATACGTTTGATTTTTTCTTTCCAGATTCAACTTTCAGAATGACTACTTTCACATGTAAATGTTTGTGTCCATGGGTAAAGGTTATTTTTGAGTGGTGTTTCTAATTCTTTATACATTTCAATCAAATTTAGGAATCCTTAACTTTTATCCCCCAGGGTAGAACAAGAAATAATGTCAAGAATTATCTCTGGGCTCTTGCCGATCCAACAACAGGCCATAGCTAATGACAGTGGTTCAGTCAGTGATGCGAGTGAACCATTGACTTCTGACATTGGTGAGTGGAATGGAATTATTTAACTTTTTTTGTTATTAAAGGACAAAACCTTCAGGTAATTGTGGATTTATATATTCTAGATGTCAGGTAGTCCTCAGCTGACAAAACATAAGCTCTTACTTCCAATGTCACTTCCTAGTTCCTCTCTGTAGTGGAGGTTAGTTCTCTCCCCCCACTGCCCTTATTTTATACTGAGCATTAACATTACTATACCACCCTCCATCCCTCCCACCCCAAATCTCCCTACTATTTTCCATAGCACTTTGTATGTGTCTTTGTTATAGTAACTATCAGATTGTATTATGATTAGTTTACATATCTGTCTCGCTCATTAGCCTGTAAATTACTCAGGATTCGGGATGTTTCTCCTTTAGTGCCCAGCCCTTGACTGACACCTAGTAAGAATTTAGGTGGTCACTGAATAGATAATGAGCCTCTTTCTTTATGGAGCCCACATCATTCTCTTCTTCCTCCTCCTTCCTCTTCTTCCTTTTCCTCCTCTTCTTTCTACTCAGGCCCCTCCTTCTCCCTCCTTTTCTTTCTCCCCCTCCTCCCCTCTTCTTCTTCCTTCTCCATCAGCTTTTTGGAGGTATAATTTACTTGCCATAAAATTCTCAATTCTAAGTGTACAGTTTGATGAGTTTTGATAAATAAACACAGCTGTATTTATTTACAACCATGATATAGACACACACAATCATGATATAGAAAAACACTTCCATCATCCCAACAAGCATCCTCATGCCACTGTGCAGTCAGTTCCTAACCCCTCCCGTGCCTGCTGGGCCCTCACAACCCCTGATCTGCTTTCTATCACTGTATTTTTGCCTTTTCTAGAATTTTATATGTATATATAATCATACAGTGTGTAGTCTTTTGTGTCTGTCTTCTTTTATGTAGTATAATGCTTTGACAGTTATGTTTTGTGCATGTAGTAATATTACACTGTATGGATATACCATAATTTGTTAATCCATTTACCACTTGAGGGACATTTGTAGTCTTTTAGGTTTTGGCTATTATAAATAAAGCTGTGATATGAATATTTGCAAACCAATCTTTTAGATACATCTTTTAATTTCTCTTGGTCATATGGTAAGTAGATGTTTAACTTTATAAGAAACTGCTAAATGTTTCCCAAGTGGCTGTTCTGTTTTGCATTCAAACTCCGGAGTAAATTGCTCTTACTTATCCCTCAAAAAGTGATCCCAAGACATCTGTATCCACTTTTTGGGGCACCCGGATATTGCTGCCACAGTTGTGCTAATTAAGGAGTACTCTTCGGACAGGTCACGTCTCCATCAAGTTGTATAGATCGTTGTTTACGTATTTTCCACACAGAGTTTTAGAAATGTAGCCGCATTACTTCTAGTACAGTCTGTTAAGGAAGTTTTACTGAGTTGTATGTACATTCATACAAGTGAAAAGTACAACCCATTTGGAAAATTAATATACCTATACAGCTTCTGATTTCAAGTACTTAAACAACTGTAAAAGTTTGAGGAGGATTAGCATGTAATGTTAGTAATGGATGTATCTGAGACTAGAAAGAAGAAAGGTTTGTCTTCATATTTATGAAGCAGCTACCATTTCTCTAAAATCCCCCCACAGTCATTGTGTCCTGTGTTTTGGCCAAAATCTGTCACAGGGTTTCCTGTTGCCCTACTCTTGGAAATGTGGATTGTTTTCAGATGAGAACATTTAATGTGGATGCAAATCCTTGTTATCACTAAATTTCTGGTGGTGGGGGAGAGGCCATTTAAGTAAATTTGCATCTGGGTGTTTTCCTCCCCTTTTTGGTTTGTTTAGAGAGGATGTTCATTATGTAAGTTATCGTCTTATTCTCTTTCATAATAAGTAGATTTTATATTTTCATTTTTATTCCTCCTCCCACCCCCTCATACACATATGTTCGCATCTCTGAAATTTTAAGAATTAAGGTTTGGATGGCAAGCATATTTCTTGCACATTTATTCTGAAATTCTTTCATTTTTTTTAGTGGAAGGAACAAGCAGTGGTGCCCTCCAGCTTTTTGTTGATGCCGGGGTCCCTGTGAATTCAGACATGATTAGGCATCTTGTGAATGAAGCTCTTACTGAGACCATTGCTGTCATGCTGGGTGACAGAGAAGCAAAGAAACAAGGTCCTGTTGCTGCAAGTGTTTCTGGGGATGTTTCAACAAGCAAAACATACTTGCCGGTAGGCGTGACACTCCTTCAGGACTTGGCGTCCTGGGGAATTTTTGATACATTTATTAAAGAGCAGTAAAATGGACACATTTTAAATTGGGTATCATAAGATCAGAGTTTGTGGTGGAGATTGATTCTTTGTTGCTAGGATTCCAGTAACATTTTCCCCAGCATTTTATTTTAAAAACTTTCAAGTCTGTAGAAAATCTGAAAGTATGATACAGTGAACGTCTGTGTACCCTTTACCTGTATTTACCACTTGATAACATTTTGACACATTTTCTATATCTGTCTTTATATGTTATATGTTATATATTCTTTAAGAATGATTTGAACGTTGCAGATTTCATGACACTTCTAAAAGCATCAGCAGTATCTCCTAAGAACAAGATGCTCGCTTACATAACCAAAACACCGTTATCATACTCCCCAAATTTAACATTGATATGTTAATACTATAGAGTCCATGTTCCAATTTCCCCAGTTGTTCCAAAAATATCTTTTAAAAGCTTTTTCTTTTTTTTAGTTTAAGATATAGCCAACAATCACATGTTGCTTTTGGTTATTATGTAAACTGATATTTTTAATCTTCAAAAGAAAGTATATTTTAGGCACTTTTGTTATTGTTTGTTCAATAAGCCTTACTATGTTAAATAGTTTTTAATCTATTATAGCAACATGGAATTATACAAAACCAAAATGTACTCTGTATTAACAGCTGTTTAAAATACCATAGTCACTTCTGATCCTATAGATCATGAATACACCATTTTATATAGATGAAACATTTAAATTGCCTCATCTGAGGTATAAACATAAAGGTAGATTTGAATTTTATGGAGATTGGTGTAATGTGATTGGCGTGCCACAGATTTGGTACATGGTTTTGGTCTGTGCTTTGTTAGCTCAGTGGTAACACATGCGGTGCAGAGGTTGTCAGGGTTATGGTTTTCTCTGTGCTAAGTAACTTTGGTTTGTTTTCTGCCCATATACTGCATAAACTTTCATGAGGGTGATTGAGTGAGAAAATGTAGAAAAATCAGTATAAATAGGCAGTATATGTAATTGTTGAGAGCGTGGACTTTGGAGTAAGGAAAATCTGAATTTGAACCCTCAGTTCTGTTACTTGAGCCTCATCCGTATAATAGAGATGAAATAGTTAAGAGTTTGGGGCCGGCCCCTGGCTTAGTGGTTAAGTGCGCACGCTCCGCTACTGGTGGCCCGGGTTCGGATCCCGGTGCGCACTGACGCACTGCTTGTCCGGCCATGCTGAGGCCGCGTCCCACGTACAGCAACTAGAAGGATGTGCAACTATGACATACAACTATCTACTGGGGCTTTGGGGAAAAAAAAGGAGGAGGATTGGCA